TCTTTCCCTACTGCTTAATGTGATGCAATCTTAATTTCTCAAGACTACATATCCCATCATGCATTGCTTCCAACAAGCAATGATGATGTTACATTGCGGGAAGTTCAGACATTGAGTTGTAGTTCAGACAGCAGGCTTAGAGTAGTGACACATGAAGTGCATATTCACAGGGTTGAGTGAAATTGTGTCACTGCATTGAGGCAATACATCCTATGGTCATCTTCAATAATGACGTTTACAAACCTTTGGATTGATTTGGTTATTAGGAGTGCGATAGAACTTATAAAACTTTGATATAGAAATACATATTAGTTTTTGAGCATAGATAACTTTTAGGATGACATTAGAACTGATTTATTTGTTTAAAACAAAAGTTGGTCATTATTTTGGTTTTTATACTGTGTGAAAACCAGAAGTCATTAAAAAGTGCAATACTGCCCTCTAGTGGCCACGAGAATGATTGCAATATTCAAATAACAAGACTGCTATTCATAAAAAGTCTCCAGTGGCTGATCTAGGAAAAACGTATGTAACATATTTGAGAAAGAAATGCATAGATCAGGAACAGGACAATCTTTCAGGAGAGAATACAGAGGTGTTTTCAGGACTTGGAGGCTGGCTCCAAAAGGAAAACCCCAACTATGTCCATAATTCAGCAGTTTCACACTGCTTGGCATCCCTGACAAGGAGCATTCATTGCAAATGCTGGATGCTGTGTATCAAATCCAGTGTCGGTTAAATAAAACTACGTGTTTCCTATCACCAACATACATTGGCAAGCACCGGCTCTCAATGTATGCAAAGAGAAAAGTGTGATACATGGGAGGACTTCCAAAGCACAAACATTAATTCATACTTTGACTAGACCTTAAAACACTTGCAGACTCCTATAAAACTCTTGGTAGACAGAATAATGTTTTTTTAGGACATTTGATGATTATTTGAATAACCAGCAGATTCAGACACAACCTGCTGTTCTTTCAAATCATAGCAGGCCAAACACTGACCCGCAAAACATATGTACAAAGTGTGCGTTGAAGAAATCACGGGTCTGCACCTAGATTTACCTATACACAGACTTGGGTCTACGAAGGGTGTATAAAGTGAAGGACATACATTTACTTTGGATTCAGAAAGACCTAGGTCTGTATTAGCTCCAGCTGTACAAACAGCTTCATCTTTTACAGCCGTATGGGGTGACATAAAACCTATGGACAATGAAAACTAAACAGCTGCCAGTTTTAAAGTCACTTGATTTGGAGTGTGATGAATGAAGAAGGGAAATGGAGTCTTTTGGCAATGAGAAACTTCTGTCAGGGTAGTTTATTAGAGGAAGCTTTACGATTTACTGAAGCTGGCCATACACTTTACAACCCTCGCAAGACTTTTGTCTTGCGAGGGTTGTAAAGTACTTTTTTTTAAAAACGTACGATCTGCCCATCTTGGACAGGCAGATAGTACCTGCGATCATCGCAAGCCCGCCCCCGCTGATGGTGACATAAAACCTATGGACAATGAAAACTAAACAGCTGCCAGTTTTAAAGTCACTTGATTTGGAGTGTGATGAATGAAGAAGGGAAATGGAGTCTTTTGGCAATGAGAAACTTCTGTCAGGGTAGTTTATTAGAGGAAGCTTTACGATTTACTGAAGCTGGCCATACACTTTACAACCCTCGCAAGACTTTTGTCTTGCGAGGGTTGTAAAGTACTTTTTTTTAAAAACGTACGATCTGCCCATCTTGGACAGGCAGATAGTACCTGCGATCATCGCAAGCCCGCCCCCGCTGAGGGGCGGGCTTCCGATGACTGCAATGCTGAACGGGCAGTGGTCGAACAAGCACGCCACTAACCCGCCGAGAATCGTAAGTTTCTCGACGGGTTTTCCAGTCTGTTTCGTACAGGAGAAACGGTCGCACGCCTTCCATACACTTTGCGATTATCGTGCGATCGCGGGATAATCGTACAGTGTATGGGCACCTTAAGACTGGATCAGACAAAATCTGGAGCAGCTACACATGACAACCAATGTATTTCTAGCTTTCATTTTCAAAGCTTAACTGAACCAGTTGAAGATATTCGCTGATTGGATACTATGCACAGCTGCTCCAGTTTCGTAAATCCCCCCCCCCCAGTGTAAGGGAAGCTTTCAATCAGATGTTTAATTTGGGCACCCTGGACCAAATGGTAGACAATAAACTTTTTGTAGCTGTAGATTTAAAATCTGTATTTTGGGACATAGGATAGTATTTGGAAACACTGGGTTATACTGCCACCTTCAGGATAATTGGACACTGGAAATTCAGTAAACCTTCTCCCATCATGCCTCAGTTTAGTAGCAATCAATGACAATAATGTCATAATGTACTCCAAAAGGATTTTACAGGTAACACAAAAATCCTATTTTCTTTAATTACGGGACATAGTATTCCAATACATTGGGATGTCCAAAGCAGTCAAACTGGGAAAGGGATGGGCGGGAGACACACACTCAGAAACATGCCTCCCAGAAGTGATGGCGATGTGCGAGTAGTGATAGACTAAAGAATATCTGTAATAGGTTCAAATGGCTGTTTTTAAAGGGCAAACAGAACCTGATAAGATCCCATGGTGTCACTAGGGAGTGCACAGGGCGGAAAATATCAGTGACAACATGCACAATGGTCTTCACGAAGGAGTGAGAAGCAAGCAGTCTCTGAGCAGAAGAAGCAGTAGAGTACTTTCTGGGATAAAAAATTCCTGGCCTTGCACCATGAGAAATACACCTTCAAGATGTGATGGTAGACTTTGTAAAAAGCCGACATCCTAGGCTTTAGGAGCAGGTGATTACTGAATCATGCAGGCCTAATCCTTCAGGACCTGGGCATGAGCCCATCAAAGCCAACAACCGAGTAGCAGGGTGGTAAACCAGTCCAAGGGACAGTTCACTCTCTTAATAGCTGCATCTACTTTTTCTCCAAAGAGAGTTTAAGGGGATTCGACATCATGACTTTTTTGGATAAAGCTTCTGCTGCCCATGACTTATGCCACAAGGCCCTGTTGGATGTCACTGTGTAAAGTATAGCAAAAGCTCCGCACCATACAGCATCAGTAGAAGCCTCTGCCTCAAAATTGGAAGTGATTTTTAGGTTATCCAAAGCTTTGATTATACTTATGGGATCTATGCACGGTCTCAATGCCACTGTCTGTCAGGACTCCCATCTCTGGACACTGAGATATGGGCCAGGTCCAGAACAATTTAGTGATCTAGGTCATCGCAAAAAGATGAAGCGACTTCAGACTAGACAATAAAGTAACTAGGCAGTGGCGTAACAACCGGGGGGGGTTGGGTGCAGCCGCCCCTAGCACAGAGATGGGGGTGGTGCCGGCCGCTGAGCTGTAAAGGATCTACACAGGCAAAGGGGCTGCGCTGGGGTCTCAACCACGAGTAAAGTATTGCTGGGATTTGTAGTCTTCTATAGTTCATGGGATTCTGCAATTGCTGTATAATTTAATGCTGGGATTTGTAGTCCTCCATAGCTGATGGTATTCTGCATTGCTGTATAATGTATTACTGGGATTTGTAGTTCTCTATAGCTAATGGTATTCCGCATTGCTGGGATCTGTAGTCCTCTAGAGTTGATGGTATTCTGCCTTGCTGTATAATGTATTGCTGAGATTTGAAGTCCCTCCACAGCTTGTAGTCAGCGGCAGAACTACCAGGATCGCAGCATTTGCAGCGGTGACTGGGCCCTGGCACTTCACCACTGTCCTAAAATCATTAGTCTGTAGTTTCAGAAAAACTTAGTGATACTAAGTACTCGAGGAAAAGTAATCGGTACTTGAACTCGGTCTGGAAAAATGGTATCGATGCATCTGGGTGGGGAAGGCAGGTGCTGGAGGGTTCTGGGGGCCCATCAGCAACATCTTGCCCAGGGCCTAATTTTAAAGAGAGCCCTGAGCATTGTATTACTAGTAATTTTAGGTGGACAGTAATACAGCCTCACATCTTACAGGAAACTACAAGTCCCAGCATGCTCCCATTGT